TGCAATAATCAGCAGTATTTTTTTCTTTTTTCTTATTTTTTGCTTTCAAGTTCAGAGACTGTCTCAGCTATGGTTCAGTTGGTAACACACTTGCTTTGTAGTTGGAAGATGACAGGTTCAAGTCCTCAACCTAGGATTTAAGCATGTAATCTAGATTGGCATTACTGTGGGGTGTTAGGCTGTATTTCAGATGAAGTGTTAAATATGAGGCCTTGTCTCTCCTGTTAGGTGTTTATGAGAGATTTCTGATACTTTTTTAAAAAGAAGTTATTCTGAGTGGTCTTGCTAATATTTGTCATTCAATTGACATCACTAAAAACAGATTGTAATATTGGTCTGTGAGGGAGTCTGTCGTGAATAAATTGCATTTCCTACATTAAAACAGTGGCTACACTTCAGAAGTACTTGCTTGAGCGTAAAGTGTTTTTGGACATCAGGAGTTCTGAACATACTGGTTTTTTTTGGAATATATATCAAACAAAAGGATGGAATTCTATCAGTTCAGAAATATTTTACAGATTCATGCTTGTTAAAAAAAAAGCTATTGACAACGTTGAGAGGAGTTTGTTTAATTTAGAAGAAGCTTTGGGCAGTAATCTAACAGTGCAAAGCATCCACCTGTTACAGAACCCATCTGATTTTGAGTTCACTGCTTGCAATGCAGTGAAAATCTGCTGGATTCTAGCACAGAACTGCTCTGTCAGGTCAGGCAGTGCCAAAGAAAATTTACCCCAAAAAGGGTGCAGAATCATCTTTTAACTGAGATGCCTCTTCCATAAGTAATAACTGGCATTTATTACATCAGGTGTACTCCCATCCTCCTTTCTGGACAGTCTTTCAGAAATTATTGGCAACCTTGAAACCCAGTTGTTCAAATTTGAGCTCTCCAGCTATGTTACAGCCTCAACAAAATATCACTGCCTTGGTATTTATCATAGTTCATGATTTATATTTACTGAATTTAAGATGAGCTGTAAAAGACCTAGTAAAGCAATATAAAATATGACACCCTCAGTGCTTCACTCTTCAGTCATTGCATGCACTAACAGTAACACCATCAAATAAACATTTATGTGTAATGTGTGTTAAATAGAATAGAGTGAGATTTGAATAGCAGTTATAGCCATTCAAGTTACATTAATTAGCCAAAATAGTTTTCAAGCAAATGAAGATTTATCCATGCATTTATAGTTAACACATGAAAACATAAATGGGTTATTGAAAAATGTATATTTATTGCCATATTTCTTTCATGACAATTATTAACATTTTTTTGTCATAAAAGTTTAAGTATTTTCACTGGTTACATGATTTCATTATTCCATATGTTTAAAGCAATATTTTGGCTGTTAAAAAATCTTGAGTTTATTTAATAGAGAAAAAAACTAATTTCTGAACCTTTATTGCGCAATTACAAAAGTAAATCTTTCAATTTGCCTTTTTGAACAGCAGAGGGCAGCTGCAGCCAGTCAAGGAATATACAGTCTCTGTCTCTGCTGAGATTCTATACACAATCAAAGGGTTAATGTCCACTATCCATAAATTCTACCAATATTTCAGGAGTGGGAAAGACTGCTTGAACAATATGATTACAAATTAATTCTAACAATTTTGTCTTGTTAATTGAACAATATGATTACAAATTAATTCTAACAATTTTGTCTTATTAATCAGGTGTTTGTAGAATTGGTTGAGATTATACAATAGTGTTCTTCTGTATCTATTTATCGATCTATCTAACTTTAGCCATTTATAACCTGGATTACCTTTCACATTTTAAAAATATGTTAAAGCTTAAGACACAGAAGATGCTTATTTTTAAAATGAATAATTCTGGTCCTTCCCTTACTGCATTCCTCACTTCTCATCTATATCATTTGAAATCTTCAGCTGGCAAAGTGCATTACAGCAGCAGGTGAATGAGAGGTTTTTTTTTTTACCAATTTAATTTTGATTGCTAACATGTCTAGTTAATCCTCTGAACGGTGAAGTGGCTAGAAAACTGTTTCTGTATAACATACATCCTTGCTCATGGGAACAGTTCTTAAACTTGCACATGGAGACAAATAAAGGATCTCTTCAGTTAAAAGGAAAAATAGCTGAAATATTCAAACTGACCCTCAATATGATCCCATTATTTCAGCAAATGTGTCCAGTATTTCCAATAAAACTAATTTAAACTGTTCTAGAATGATGTTTTGGAAAAGACTACACCAGATCTGTGGTTAGCTGCAAGAGCCATTTCCCCATTTTCCTCAGCAGAGCAATCTTTCATCTTTTTAGTTATTAAAACTATAATGTAACATTTCAATTATTGTTCTGGGTTTACAATGTCAGGTTTTGTTGCTCAGCTTGTACAGCAACTGAAATGAAAACAAGACAAAGATCATTAGTCCTCAAAAGTTAAACTGTACATGAGAATAATTTTTGTTATTGAAAATGATTTTATTCAGTGATTCATTATGGAGGTAAATACTATATATGAGCTCAGCATTTAACTTTAAGTATCACTATCACACGTTCGAAAGAGCATGAGAAAGTTAGAAGTGGTTAAAAACTGTAATAACGTGAAGCAACTATTCTGTAAATTTTTAGAATTTCAATATAGACACAGCTCTTCCTTTCTTCTATATCCGATGAACATGTTAGTTCTGCCTGTCAGTTACTGGGAATAAAGTTATTGAGACCTGATCACATTTAGTCACATTCTATGGTGGTGTCTTCTCAAAGTTGCCGAACTCAAGTACCTAAAATCACATATGTTATTAGTTTTAGAATTGTATTGGGTAATTTTACAAAATCACAGACCCAGCACAGGACACTCATCTGCCAGTGCTACATATTGGGACAAACTAATATAAAACTGAAGTGAAAATTGTAGTTGCTGGAAACACTTAGCAAGCCGAGCAGCATCTATGGAAAGAGAAACAGAGTTAACATTTCAGGTTGATGACTTTTCATCAGAACCCAAATATGCTTATTCAAAGTTTGGATGTGCACTGCCATTATCTTCTTTCTATTAATGCATGGGTGTCTCAACTCCAGGCCCTTAAAGTTCAGGAAACAAAGTAGTTTGTTTGCTACTTGCTGTTTGCCCTATTTCAGATTCTGGAAGTTCGAATACTGTAGGTGAATAAGTTCTAACACAAAGTATCTTATCATTCTATTTGTAATAGCATTTGGAAAATTGACAAAGAAATGAAAAGTTGAATCGATTTTTTTTATGCCAGACAGGAATGAATAGCACATCTTCCCTGTGCTCTTTAAATGTTTGCGATTACCCATCTACTGTCATATCTTTAAGTTTCATTTCCCAATTTATTATAGCCAGCTAGTGCCCCATAGTATTGTAGTTTCCTTTATTTAGACTCAGGACCCTAACCTCAGAATTAATGTTGCTACTCTCCATCTTTCTATGATAATACCATCTCTAATGGGGTATGCACAGCTAGTTTGCCAATCATTCCTTTCACATTACACAATACCCAGTCTAGTTAGTTCCTCAATGTATTGATTCAGAAAACCATCTTGTATACACTGCAGGAAATTCTCCTCTATGGCATTGTTACTGATTATATTGTTATGAAGGGTAGGGTGTAATGGATATTTACTCAAATTGGTAGGATGAGACGGAGAGGTGGCTTTCCTCAATAATATTTACTGGAGCCAATCCTTTTTCCTACATATATAGTTTACTCATTTGAGGGAAGAAAGGGCATGGAATATAATGGAGTGAAAAGCATGTTATAGCTGCACAGAGCTCTATTACTACATTTTGGATAGGACATATTAGGTTTGAGGGAGTGCAGTGAAGATTCACCAAATGATATTGGGCGATAAGAGTTATATTGTAATCACTTAGAAGTAGAAGATGAAGGGGTGATTCAAGTGAACTGTTTCAATAGATTAAAGGCTTTGATAGGGTAGATACTGCTAAACTATTTATTCTGCAGCAGACACAAGGAAATGTGTATAGATTAAAATTTTAGAGGACCTGTCAGAAGTTCTTCTTCATACAAAGGGTGATGGAAGTTTAGAATTCTATCCTCCAAAATGCTATTCAGTTCAGGTCAATTTCCAACTTGTAATCTACGAAGGATTGATTTTTTTTTGCTGTCAAGTAACAAGCCCAAGTGATTGGATGGAATTAAGGTATTGCTCAACAATGATCTAATTATATAACAGAACAAACTTGAGGGGCCTGTACCCATTTTCTCATCTGCCTACAATCACAGTTGGAATATATAATATTGTTTATAAAAACAGTCAAAAGCAGGATGGAATTTAAATAAAAGCCCTGAACTGAAGTCTAGCCATTTTTAAACATTGGACTGTAAATGCAAAAATCATACAATCAGATTCAAGCATCAATTTCTCAAATACAAATTATTGCAAGGTAGATGATCTGGACTTGAAAGCTACAAATTTACGACAATGGGCTATTTATAAATGGAATACTTGCAACATTTTTATACTTGGTGTGAAAACCAGGAATAATTGATGAATTAAATGTACTGGCAGCAGAGATTTTCTGGTTGATAATCTTCACTTCAATCCAAGCCTGCACTCTCCAGAGAGCACTGCATGCAGCTAGTATCTGGTCAGCAAATAAAATGATTGATTACCTTTGGAATCCTCTTTTCAATTGGTTATTTGCTTCACAGAATATTTACAGGATACCACAAAAGCAATTAGCTGAAGTGTTAAAACTAAAAAAATGGTCCTGAATTTTCTTGAACTCCCTCCTACTGGATGACTAACTCCACTGGTTGTTCGTACCACACTGAAACTGCAGAGTGGTTTTATTTCAGGGGAAATGATCATTCGTTTCTGTTTCCACTGTGAATTCTTAAGAAATGTCATAAATATGCAGAGCTTCTGAAAAAAAATAACCGTCTTTGCCAGTTTTCATTGGTTTCCTGTATTGTGGTAGCTGTAGTCACCTTGTTTGTTGGTTATTCTGTTTTGGTTAATTATCCTTCATTCTATTTTGTTTTCAGTTGATAACTGGTCAGTGGGGTGCATCATGGGAGAAATGATCAGAGGCGCTGTGTTGTTCCCTGGCACTGATCGTATCCTTCCTAGCAACCTTTGACCGCAAGCCATAGTTTCCTGACAGTAAAAGTTGAATGTTCCACAAGAATGGTACTTTAAAATGCAATTATATTTGACTCCTTACATTTCGAGAGAATCTGGCCTCTTGTTGTTTATTTACTTTAGAAGTGTATTAGTGGAAGCTACATTGGTTTAAAATAAAATCACCAATAATAGTTATAGCTCAACCAAATACTTAAAAAATGTTAATTCTTTGGTTATTTGATGACTTTTCACTCAGGCATCATGATACACTGTTATCCTAGTGCCAATTAATCAGGAGCAAAAGCAATACCTATGATTATAAAGGGCAAAAAAGCAGAAACAGCCATACCACAGACAGACACATCTTACTTAACGTAAAATAATAAAACTAATTATCAGCAGAAAAGTTGAGGATTGCTTGTAAAATAATAATCTAGTCAACAGCAACCAATGCAAATTGAGGAGGAACAGATTCTGCATGCTCAACCTTCTTAGCTTCTTTTTAAGGAAGTGATAGCAAAGTGTCTGTGGAAAACTTGAAAGTGCTCTAAGTTGTTAAACGTGCTGGTTAATATTGGTCTAAGCAACAACAAAAAATGAGGGTTAATAAATCAGCCAACACTTTACTGTCTGTAGCTGGTGTAAGACAGGCAGTTTAATTCTCTATTGCATGTTTTGTATTATTGTCCAACTCCAAATGTAACCATTAGACTTCCATAAAAATAACTTTTGGCAAAGAGAGGTACTCGTTTTGTTAAAAAGCAGAGATTTAAAGTGCATTTTGAGATGCATTGAAAATAAATTGCCTGAACAATGGAAAGTAGTGTATCTCTTGTTTGAATTTTATGGGGTGCCATTGTCCCCCTGCAAAACATTAAGTGAGCAAGTCTGGCCATGTTCACAGTGATTTAATGCTGAGAACATCATTAACTGCCTTAAGGTGAGACCTTTTCCTTCTCCCTCCACTTCCTCTCACCCTCCCCCATTACTCCCCCCTCCACTCTCTATCTTGGGAGGAAGCTCTGCCTTAGAGAGTGGAAGCCCCATCAGATGCTTGGCAGCTCTGCAGTGCCAAAGGGTGTGGTAGCTACCAATTACAAGCAATCACTCCAGACATAAGATGTAGTCCAGTCGAGTTTTGGTGAGGGGTTTGGGTCCATGTGCAAGAGGTCAGGGGAAGGAATGAAATGAGTTGTGACAGGGTGGATGGTTACCTCTGAGCATGTGGTGTCCCCATTGTCTGACACTAAGCAGCACAGCTCGAACTCCGAGGCTCACTGCATGACACGGGCCTCGTCACTGACAGGGGGGTGTCTGAAGTCCAACATATTGTTACAGCAGTTATGCCATGGAGAGTGCAGTACCCAGCGAATGGCCTGTTAGGACCATGGAGGTGTATGTGTGGAACTACAGGAGATGGGTGAGGCCCTCAATGAATATTTCTCCTCTGTGTTTACTGTGGAGAAAGACATGAAGACTTGGGAATTTGGGGAAGTTAGTGGCGCTATCTTGGGGACTGTCCATATCACAGTAAAGGGGGTGTTGGAAGTTTTAGAACGTATGAAGGTGGATAAATCTCCTGGTCCTGACCAGTTATATCCAAGAACCCTCCAAGGAACGAGGGAAGAAATTGCAGAGGCCCTGGCTGATATATTTGCATCATCGTTAGCCACGGGTGAGGTCCCGGAAGACTAGAGGGTAGTGAATGTTGTGCCCTTATTCAAGAAGGGCTGCAAAGAAAAACCTGGGAATTATAGACCGGTAAGCTTAACATCTGAGGTAGGTCAGTTACTTGAGAAGACTCTGAGGCGTAGGATGTACATGCATTTAAAAAAATAGGGTTTGATTTGGAGTAGTCAGCATGGCTTCATGCATGGGAGATTATTCCTCATAAATTTGTTAGAGTTCTTTGATGGAGTGACCAGGAAGGTTGATGAGGGCAGGTCAGTCGACGTAGTCTATATGGAGTTCAGAAAGGCCTTTGATAAGGTTCCACATGGTAGGCTGCTCTGAAAGTTAGATTGCATGGAATCCAGGGAGAGCTGGTAAATTGAATACACAATTGGCTTGATGGTAGGAAGCAGAGGGTAATACTGGAAGGATGCTTCTCTGATTGAGGCCTGTGATGAGTGATGTGTCTCAGGCATCGGTGCTGGGCCCATTGCTGTTTGTTATCTATATCAATGATTTGGATGAGAATGTACAAGGCATGATTAGTAAGTTTGCTGATGACAATAAAGTAGACAGTATCGTGGACAGTAAGGAAGGTTTATCAGAAATTGCAGCAGAATCTTGATCAGCTGGGGAAATGGGCCGAAAAATGGCAAATGGAGTTTAATACGGATAAGTGTGAGGTGTTGCATTTTGAAAAATCAAATCAAGGTAGGAGTTCCATGGTGAATGGTAGGGCCATAAGGAGTGTAATGAAACAGAGGGACCTTGAAGTTCAGGTGCATGGTTCTCTGAAAGTGGAGTCAAGGTAGACAGGGCAGTGAAGAAGCCTTTGGCACACTGGCCTTCATCAGTCAGGGTATTGAGTGTAGAAGTTGGGAAGTTATGTTACAGTTGTACAAGACATTGGTGAGGCCACACATGGAGCATTGTGTTCAGTTTTGGTCACCTTGCTATAGGAAGGATGTTATTAAACTGAAAAGAGTGCAGAAGAAATTTACAAGGATGTTGCCAGGAGTCAGGGGACTGAGTTATAGAGAGAGGTTGGTCAAGCTAGGACTTTTTTCTTTAGAGCATATGAAATTGAGGGGGGGATCTTATAGAAGTATATAAGATCATGAGAGGCGTGGATAGGGTGAGGTTAGGGAATTGAGGACTAGAGGCCATCAGTTTAGGCAAGAAGGACAAGAATGCTTGGGAACCTGAGGGGCAAATTTTTTACACAGAGGGTGGTATGCGTATGGAATGAGCTGCCAGCGGAAGTGGTTTAGGCAGGTATATAAACAAAATTTAAAAGGCACTTGGATGAATACATGGATAGGAAAGGTTTAGAATGATATGGGCCAAGTACAGGGAAATGGGGTTAGTGTGGATGGACATTTTGGTTGGCATGGACCCGTTTCGGCCAAAGGGCTTGTTTCTGTGCTGTAGTACTCTATAACTCTATGACTCTATGACCACTCCTGTTCCAAGCCAAACTTTGCAACTAATATTAAACTACATGATGGGACTGGGACAGGCAGCTCAGAAATTACAACATGCATTGGGTGAAAAATTTAAGGCAGCAGAACAATGGTTAATGTGGTTTCATGCAGGCAAATGCCAATGAGACAACAGTAAGGAAAACTCGTTGCCCTATTTGCTGCAGGAAGGGAATTGAAATAGTTAAAGCTGTAATCAAATCAAAAGAGTTGACATTCAACAACATTCAGCGCAATAAATAGAATGCTGAAATATATGGCCAAAACAACAGAAAACAAACAAAAAACATTTGGTCAAACAGTTTGGCATGCTAGTCAGCTCACATTACTAAGCACTAAGGTCAGTTGCATTCAGGTGTTCAAAAACTAACACTTTGCAGGGAAGAGTTATAAAGCAAGTCCTTAATAATAGAAGTTGAAGTTAATATCAATACTTGCAAAATTTTGTAATTCTATCTTGAAAAGTGACAACTAAATGGTGGTCTTAGTGATATACCAAACAGTAAATGCTGCAGAAAAGGTACATTGAGATAATAATTTCATTTATTGTTAGAGAGAGAAGACTGGTAGAGGCTTAATCTGAGAGTTAGCATGCCTCGTGAGGGGAGAGATTCGAGAAGGATAATCCTCCATAGTACAGGAATTGAATCCATGCTATCAGTGTCCATCACAAACCACCCAACCAACCAACTAAGTTAACTGACCTTCTCCAATCTGTGAGAGTAGAGCATGGGGATACATTCGAATGACTGAAGAACAACTATAGGAGTAATATCAGAAAATATGAGACAAACCCTGAGGAAGAACAGTGAAGAGAAAAGCTCAAAGCTACTTTAAAATCAATTGAATGTTGGGACGGAAGACTTTAGAGTTTTTCCAGACAGATGAACTAAAGGATCTGAATGTGCCTCTTCCACTGAAATTATTTGTGTTATCTCTGTAGCCATCAACTCAGGTCAGAATATGTATGATGTTTAACTGGTTATGGAACTCAGTAGCATTACTGCACCAAAATAAATACATTTATTAAGAAATAAAGTATATTTCCTCAGTTTCTGCTGCTTTGTGGCTGTAAGTAACTGGGTCAGAAATTTGGAGATTTCAAGGGGATGCATCATCATATAAAGAGAGTAGGAAAGTTATCTACTTTAGAATGTCAATGTTTAGTTATATGATACAATAATATGAAATTCAAACAGTAGTTATTAATACAAAGATCAGCCATAAGCTGTTCAATAAGGCTGTTGTGGTACAGTTGTAGCGTTCCTAACTGCTCCAGAGATGTGTTATAGCACCTCCGCATGGGTTGACTAGAGAATGCCTAAGTTAATCAATAGGCCTATTGTAGTGCAGTGAAAGTAGCCCTACCTCTGGGCCCAGGTAACCTGTGTTCAAATCCCAACTGCTCCAGGATTGTGTCATAGCATCAGGTTGATTGAGAATGTTGAAGCTACCTGAATGGTGGAAAGGCTGTGTGACCTACACCAGTTCCTATCTTCCAAACAAATACTTGGCTGGAAGATTCTTGAGTAGATTTGTAGCTTGGGTTGTGGCTGCTGTGGTTGGTTGGCTTGCTGAGCTGGTTCGTTAGTTCGCAGACGTTTCATTACCCTGCTGGGTAACATCATCAGTGCAGCCTCCGATGAAGCGCTGTTGTGTTTTCCCTCCTGGTATTTAAACTCTGGGGTCCATTGGATTTGATTACCTCATTTCCGGTTTTCCTTCACTGTGGTGTATATATAGGATCTAGTTCTATGTGTTTGTTGATGGCCTTCTTGGTGGAGAACCATGCCTCGAGGGATTCCCGTGCTTGTCTCTGTTTGGCCTGATGTTGTCCCAAT